TCCTAGTAGCGTCCTTGTTACTAGTAAAGCCCTTTGCTCCTAGTAGCGATGCCCTTTGCTCCTAGTAGCGATGCCAGGAGCGCCCCGTTCGTCGCGATGCCAGGAGGAGGGCCGCCTGGGTCCTCGAGGCGAAGAGCGTGTGCCCACCTTTGCATCGGACTGAAGTTGAGACCGGTGGAGAGAGCTCCGGTGGTGCACCGTCGTTCTACTTGGTCTAGGTTTTTATTTCATGTTCTTAGTTTATTTATCTTGTTTTTGGTTCTATTTTTTCCTTTTTCATGTTTCATTTCCGATTTTGGCCTTCCGGTTTTCCAGGATGCTTCAGCACCAGGGTGAAGTGCTTGATCTGGAGAAACCATCATTGCGAGATATGTTTCTTGTTAAGTTCATTTTGGATGTGGTCTTGCTTCGGTTTGCTCCCTCGCCCTGTGTCGCTTCCCTGTACAGACACAGAATCTCCACGAGTCTCTGAAAGAAACCTCGCATGATCACTTGGTGGGGAACCAGCAGGACGGGAATGCCCTTGCTAGTAGCAACGCCCTTGGGGGTTCTAAAAGGGCTATCCTCAGAAGGCTACTTCGAGACTGGGCTATCTCGCAGAACCTTTCTGAGACTTTGAAGGGTAGACTGGGTAGACACGAACCGTTCATGCGTAGACGCTGCGAAAAAGATTGGTGAGATGGGTGACAATGTTCGCTACGAACGGAGCAAAGGGCATCGCTACTAGGAACAAGAAGCTACTAGGGGCTCCTGGCCTCACTACTAGTAACAATAAAGCTACTAGGAACATAACATCTCCTTGATTTTGACGGAATGCTGATGCCATGGACCTGCCATGGACCTGCAAAGGTTGCCGTGACATCGCATTCACCAGTAGCATGCTACGTGAGTGGGTTATTTGAGCAAGATTGAAGAGTGTTTGGAACTGTATGGTTTTGGTTGGAGTTTGCATTGTGCACTAAACAAGGCTCGCCAAGAAGGCTACTCCCCTTGAGGCCTTGCAAGAAAACTTACACGCCAGCTTCGCCAAGTGCATTGTCCCTGCAGCTGTTTTGGCGAAGGGGTGAGCCCCAAGGGCTGCAGCTATGGCAGAAGCCGCCAAGGGCTTTCAATGGCTCTTCCTTCATCCGGTGCCTTGTCGTTCCAAAAGGAGATGCACTCCGTCAACCCCCACCCTGCCACCCAAGTTTGGTTGGTACTTATCTAGTAAGATAGTCGCTAGTAGGTTGGAGGCCATCGGTAAGATAGTCGTAATGCCATTGTTGAGAGGCTCTAACTGATGCTCGAAGGCTGTAATACACTGTAGTGATGGAGAGATGAAGTGTGAGTTGGACTTCCCGTGGGTGCCTTGTTGAAGGGCCAGAATGCCAAAACCGAATATCATGAGTCCAAGTCACTTGAGGATCTCTTTGCTGATCCTTCGGACCTTTTTCTTTCTTTCTTCTTTCCTTTCTTTCCTTCTTTCGTTCTTTATTTGTCCTCCTTTCTTTCCTTTTAAAGGTTCTTTCAATAGAGTTTCTGCACGTGTTCAGGCTCTGAAGTTTTTCTAGATGCAGATATGCACCGAGGTGCATACGCCGAGCACTTCCTCGAGGGCGCCTGTGCCGTGGATCGGAGAGGCAGGGTTTGGCCAAAGCGGTGCTGGTTGAGCCAGGGCCAAGACGCATCTCAAACCTTTTGTTTTTTCTTTAGGATGGAAAAGGGGGGGTAGGCCATAGTAAGCTCAAGTAGCTAGTGGTAGCTAGTGAGTGGTAGCTAGTGGTAAGGGGTAAGTAGTAGGCTAGGACTCACTCTCAAGCTTGATTGATTTGATACCTAGACTTTTGACACCTAAACTTAACGTGGTCAAGCAATTCTTTCCTTTTAGAAGGGATGCCACCAAATTCATTCGCAAACTCGCTGCACACCACCCAACGTTGGGTTTTGCAGTGAGTGTCGGACATTATTTTTGTGAGACGCGTTCATACTTGTGAGCATTTCATTTTTCTTCTGTAACGAAGGGCATCGCTACCTATCAAGTGCCTTACTAGTAGTAACAAGAAGCTACTAGGGGCTCCTGGCCGTACTACTAGGAACAAAGGGCATCGCTACTAGTAACAAGTGCCTTACTGGTAGTAACAAGAAGCTTCTAGGGGCTCCTGGCAGTACTACTAGTAACATTGGCATCAAGCTAGTGCACATTGGCCACTCACAAGATGTCAGGACGCGGAATGCGTGGGTCTTTGTCACCCAAAGTGGTGGCACTAACGACCTTCCAATTGAAAACCAAACAAAAAAAGGGTTGTGCCACTTAAAAATGACACACATACGCTTAAAATAATGAAAAGAAACGACCTCAGGAACAAAAAAGGCTTTTGGTTTGAACATCCTATTGCTCCAGTTGGTCTTTTCTTGGGTTTGCCTCAGCTCGAGTTGGTGCACGATATTTCTTTCGCAGGAAGGCCGAAAGAATGGGCGTCGCGACGCTTGGCGTGAGGCCGTCGTGAGGCCTCATTCGGCTGTTCTATTTTCTTGTATTGGTTTCCATGCAGTTCTTTTAGAAGCTATTAGTAACAAGTGCATCGCTTCTAGTAACAAGTGCCTGATTAGTAGTAACAAGGACGCTACTAGGAACAAGAAGCTACTATTTTCCTTTAGACCTTTGGACCTCTTTTTGGAATCTGTGTATAACTACCTACATGTAGTCCACGAGCCGCCAACATTCTTCAACAGCACCCGTGTTTTGTAGAAGGAGCGCAGTTGGCGTCACGACATGCATGACTTTCTCAATTTCATTTTGGATTTTCCTCCTGGCTTTGTTGCTAGCTTGGTGGGAGGGTGCAGATGGTGCAGGTAACTGAATCCAAACGAAACCTGTCCTGAGTTGGCCATTGCTGTTAAAGAGAAGCATATCCAAGTACACATATGGTTTATGAACTGCTCACTCGAGCTAAGGGCCAGAGAACCTTGAAGCAGTTGAAATGGCTACATCTCGCCTCGCCACAGTTGTCCTACAAATCTAGGACCCTAGGTTAGGAACCACATGAATAGATTAAGCTCTCCTGCGTCCAGTGCCTAGTAGCGTCCAGTACCCAAATAGAGCTACTAAATGCTTAGCTTACCTCTATACCTCTTCCAGTGGCCTGCCCCCTATTTAAGAACTATAAACGATTCCGACAAGAGCTGCGCAGTCGCTTAGGAGTCCTTGCTGAACCTCCTGAAGCGGGCAGCTCGCGATGAAGTGCTAAGCGCAGCCTCTCGCCAACGGGAGGGAGTTTAAAGCAACGCGAACCGGGAAGGATCCTTTAGGATGGTTTTTTCTTTAAGAAAGGTCGCTATTAGGTTGGAGGCCATCGCTTCTAGGAGCAGGATGCGTTTTCTTCAAATGGCGCTTCCTCTACACCTTGAGGCCGTTCTCCTTGTTTTCGTTCTCTCTTTCTTTACCGCGGAATGGACTGAGCTACCCTTAGGCTGTGTGGATCGATGCATGTTTGTTTCGGTAAGACCCAACAAAAAGAAAGAGACAATCAGCAAAGCTGAGAGGGTCTGAACTTGAGGTGTTTGAGTTCATGTGTTCAGCTTTCTGTGGAAAAAAGCGCTGTGACACAAAGGGAAGAGGCACGCGAAGATGCTCGAAGCATGGTGAAGCCTTGAGTTGGAAAAGGTCTGCCTGCAGTCTGCCCCCAGTCTGCCTACAAAGATCTAAAAGCCCTTCCTACAAAGATCCCCCAGTCTTGCAAGAGAGCTAAGCTGCTAAGCGGATTTCTTTAGAACCATGATTGCTTTTTTCGGGCCTTTTCTGCTCCTGCCATTCTCTGCCTGCCAACAAGAACGCTTCTTGGACAAATATTTTACAAGGGGCTTCAGTCTTGACATCTTCCACCTGTTGTTAGTTCCAAGGTTGGAGGCCATCGGTAGTAGGTTGGAGGCCATCGCTCTTAGGTTGGAGAGGCCCTCGCTATTAGGTTGGAGGCCATTTCTAGTAGGTTCCACCCCTCATTAGTTCCAAGACTAAGGTGCTGTCTAAAAGGCCTGACATGCAGGGGATGCCCCCCCTCTCCAATTCTTTGTTTGCTGAGGATCCTCCCACGGCTCCAGCAGATGCTACGGAGGCCATTTCAGATATTTTTTGCTCAAATAACGACCATAAAAGACTCACAAACATGTTTTCCTTGCATTCTGTTTTGCTGGTTTGACATGTCAGCGGTGGACACGACTAAGTTCAACACAACCAATGACGAAGCACCAGCACAAAATCATCACGGAGGGTTTGAGATCATGAAGCATGGCTAGCGCGATGCAAAAGAAGGCAGTCATATGAGCTATGCCAGATGGGGGAGCTTCAAGATGTTCACAAAGAAGTCCATCCCTCGCATGTTCACTCTTTTCCGTTTTCCTAGGAGACTCAGTGGTTAGTGGCAGCCTCCAACCAAGTAGCGGTGTTTCTCCAATAAAAGGGATGACGATGTTTTCCTGGCACCGTGGCGGACATTTCCCAACACTCGTGTCTTCTCCAACCAGGCCGGGTTCCTCCGTGCAGTGCCTCCGCCTTCGCTGCAATTCTCGGGGTGTCACCTCGTGGGTGTGGGGGACCGCACAGGGTGAGAAAACAAGAAAAGGGAAGAAAAGCTCATAGCGATGGCCTCCAACCTAGTAGCGTCCTTGCTCCTAATAGCGATGGCCTCCAACCTATTACTAGTGATGGCCTCCGTTTCCTAGAAAAGGGAAGGCTCCATAAGTCCTCTGGAGAATCGAAATCAGACCAGACACCATACAGTTCTTCGATGTCGAAGAACCCGTGGAGTGCCCTCGTCAGGAGTTGTCTTTGTCAGTGCCCTTGCTCATGGCAGACCTCGTTTACATCTCGGCCAGTAGCCGTTCAGAGGTTGTCCTTTGGCATCAGCAAACCAGTTGTATTGTGCAAACTGGGCTCGGCAGGGATGGGTTTGGCAGTTAGAAGCCCTTCCAAAGTCAACCGACATCAGGAAACACCGAGAAGGCTCTTCTAGTAGCGATGCCCTTGTTACTAGTAGCTTCTTGCTACTAATAGTAATGCCCTTGTTACTAGTAGCTTCTCCTTGCTACTACTCGTCTTTTTTCTTTTTCGTTCTTCCGTCTCGCTCCTGAAATTACCACGTTCTCTCATTTGTTGCAGGCGAGAAACTGAGACCAGGTAAGTGGGATATCAAAGGTCACGGGCCGGTCATGGGTTGCTTTTAAGCTCAATTCATCTTAATGAGGTTGAGAACAGTCGTTTTCTTGAGGTTTTGTTTGCCTTGACGAGCAACAAATGCCTAGGTTGAGAAAGAGGAGCAATATCTTCTGGCTCTAGCGCCACGCCCTGCAGTGTTACCTTCGAGCCTTGAATCAGTCGACCGATCGGTAAGGAACTAGAGCACGCGGCATGTTGGTATCATGTTTCGCTCTTAGGTTGGAGACGATCGCTAGTAGGTAAGGAAGGTTGATCCCCAAACATATGTTCGGTGTGTTTGCAGGTCAGCGATCCTGTGGCTCTCTTCTTGAAGATTGAACAATTGAACTATATTGCAGTCAATACGCCAACCACGCGTATTGAAACCTTTTTGCATTTAAACACCTATAGTTGATTTAAGAATGTTCCTACATTGGAGTTTCGGCAACAAACAATGTTCCCAAACGCTTTGCAGTTCAGAAAGCCGAGACTCAAAGTTGTTTGACCTGCGAGATAGTGTCTAAACATGTTGAAGGCTGAAGAACGTACAGGCTTCGCAGATTCCTCAGGTCTCACCTTTGCTAATTGATTTGTTTTCAAATTATTTATCAAAACACATGGCCTCCAACCTACTAGCGATGATTGTGCCCAGGAACCAGAAGTACAAGTTGTGTGACACTCTTCTAGGATACCACTACGTGATGCTCTACTGTGAAAGCCTTCTTTTTGGGACACTCTCTTGTGAACGTGCCTGATTATAGGACACTGCTTTAAAAACGCTCTCGTGTGACACTCTTGGGCACTCTTGTGGACACTCTTGCATTACGCTTGTGTGAGACTTCTCCAAAAGTCACAGCAGTGTTCACAACGAGCATTTTGTGCAACACTCCATGCGAGGCCTCCAAAACCAAGCATTTCGTTCGAGACTTCCGTACAGGATTCATATGGGTTTTCCTGCGGTGTGTGTGCATTTGCCATCATGTGATCACTCACTTTTCCAGGTTTTTCTTTGAAACATCCCTGAGACACATGGAGCTGATTCAGTGCAGAAAAGAGAAAAGCGGACTGTACTTATGGCAATGGATGGCTAATGCAGTGCGGTACCCATTTTTGAATCATCTTCACTCATGTTCCGCTCTCTCAAACCTGCATGGGAAATACCCCGAAAATCTAGAAGCCTACCAGTCGCCCTCTTATAGTCGCCCTTACTGAAAGAGGAGGTGCTGTAGGAGGTTCTAGGGGGGCCATGGCTAGGTTGGAGGCCATGGCTCTTCGGTTTTCGGCCCCTCGCTCCTCTCGACTTTCTTGACCGCGCCTCCTTGACGATCGTCTCCGAGGACCGGAGACTCCGGAGACTTGGTGCCCCTGGAAGACGTGTGGATGATGTACACGTTGCCAGTTCAATCCAGCGCCTCGACTGCTTCATCGTCAACGGCGAACTGGTGTGAACGGAGACCCCGGTTCCGACCTTCGGTCAAAGAGAATCAGGTTCCATGGATGAAGAACATGAAGAGCGCGTTTTGCGGGTCGACTGAGGCGATTTCCTTCGTCTTCTTTTTCAATTTGGAAGCCGCGGTGCTTTGCGTCCGGGTGCCCAAGGGTGTTTCAATCACCTTTAAACCCGGGTGTGCTTTTCCATCGTCACGTCATGTTGCTCGAATGACCATGCAGGATATCACACGATCAACATTGCTTACATGGCCTGAGACTCCCATCCTTTTTGCAGGGGTTGAGTGTTCCAGCTAAGCTTTTTCATCACGCATACAGGGACAGAACACACCCAATGAAAGAGCCCCCTATCCTTTTAGAGTGCCCATTGTTCCTAGAAGCCCACTGGAAGAGAGCAGCCTTTTACCTGGGGACATCGTGGTTTCCCGACGCAGCCCATACACTTTTGCGCCATCGTTCGGTTGTTCCGGTGAACGTTCTAGGCACGCTCGTACAAGGCCACAAGGCCACAATTTGAAAAGTATAGTAAGTCGCAGACGTAGGTTATCGTGTTTTGTGAGTCCCCTATTGTTTCACAGGGGTTGGCAGCACTTCCACAAAAATCAACGGGACATCCAAAAGGAGCGGTGGCCAGAGAGTGTCGTTCAAACGAATGCTGTCCGAGTGTTGCACGGCATTTGCAGCGCATGTCCACCACTTTTTCGACCGTCCAATCCAGCGCCTTAAGGCGCTCGAAAGTGTGTGTTTTTATGTGTTTTTTTTCACTTTCACTTTTCTCATCCGTTTGAGGAGGTTTTTTTTAGTAGCAAGAATGCGCCGTTTGTAGCAATGCCAGGAGCCCCTAGTAGCGTCTTTTTTTTGGAGGTCTTTTTCCGCATCCAACGCTTATGCGACTTGGCGACTCCTTGAGGTTGGGACCTACATAGGTGCTACAGCCTGACCGAGCGGGCACTGGGTTCCGGTGGCTGTGGCACAGTGTACCTAGGAGTGCGGGAAAGGGCAGCTGTGGGGCCAGTTCTTCATTGAATTGAAACACTAGGAGGCCATTGCCACGCCGAATTAGTAATGACTCTCCATTGTTTTTGCCACACTTAAGTCTGTGAAGCCCCCGACTTGTCTTTGTCTTCTTTTCTTTTGTCCTGGGATTCGAAAGTGGCCGACGGGGCTTGGCAGAGCAGAATCCAGACGCTGCCTGCAGGACAGTCGAAGATGAACCTTCCACCTGCAAAAGAGAGTTCATCCCGCTTGGACATGCCGGCTGTGCCACAGGTGGGCTTGGGGAAATTTGGCCTAGCCTTACGATGCCTTGCGGCCAAGTGAAGCATTTAAGGCCTAAAGTCTTGACAATTTGGAATGTGGCTGACATCAAATGTGCCCAGCAATTCTCATCCTGCAACCTTTCTGACGGGTGATATCCACAGAGCATAAATTGTGTTCTTCCACGCGCAGGTCGCCATCAAGAAGCTCAACAAGAGTGGCGGCATTGCGGAGTCTTGTTGTCCCATTGGGGCATTGGGCAGAACGATCGAGATTGGGATAGCATCGCACGAATAAATTCGATGTAGAATGATTTAGATAGCCTCTAGATTAGATGGATGGTAAGTATGTTATGATATATGATCTAGAATTGATCTAGAATCGATCTACAATATAATATATGATTTAGATATATGGTTGGTATGTTTTGTAGCTCATCGATTGCCTCTCACGGACGATCGTGGCATGCACGGCGTGAGCGCAGTGCCTTCAGCGTATAGCTTCGGTCGCTTGAAAGAGGAGGTTGAGATATTGCTTGTTACTACTAGGAACAAGAAGCTACTAGGAACAAGTGCATCGCTTCTAGTAACAAGTGCCTTACTAGTAGTAACAAAGAAGCTACTAGGAGCAAAGGGCCTTACTACTAGGAACAAGAAGCTATTAGCTTATTGTTTCTACTAGCAAACATTGTTACTACTAGTAAGGCACTTGTTCCTAGTAGCGTGGCACCTGTTTCTACTATCTTCTTTCGTATTGCTCCTTCACATGGATGCCATAGAAATTACGTTGGAGGCCATCGCTAGCAGGGTGGAGGCCATCGTAGGTATGGCCTGTCGCCAATCCTACGAATAAGATCAATCATGTTCGCAGGGTCCATGGAGTTTGATCGGCATTGGATATGGACAGATTGTGCTTCACACCATCGAAGTAACCTTGGCAGTGCCACAGAGAAAGACAGGGACCCTGGGATGGCAGCAAGTCGAGGGCCGTCCGGCGGTTGTGGGCGGCCCGGGGGCGCCGTCCCTGCGGATGCGCCGTCCCTGCGCACGTTCCGGCGTGCCACGTCACGTGGATGGTGCGGGTTCGAAGAAAGATTCAGCAGGTTTCGTTTGCAGGTTGAGCGGTTGCCTGGTCAGAACCGCAGCAGCGTCGGGACGTGCTCAGGAAGAGACTTCAATCAGAAGTGAAATTGAGCCGCCTAGCTGCAGTACAGCCACAGCAACCGCTTGGCAACCGATAAGGAACCCATCGGCAACTCTTAGTGCTTTTGAGCACAGGTCCTCAGTTTCCCCGAAGAGCTAGAGGCAAAATCATTAAGCTTGATCTCTTCTACGTCCTAGCCTGGTAGTGCCCCTAGTCTACTTAGTAGTTTCTACCTTAGTAGCGATGGCCTCCAACCTAATGGTGATGCCTCCAACCTAGCATAATTTGTACTCCCAGGAAAACATGCCTGTAAAGGTCCAAAGTTGGAACCTCCTCCGGCTGGGCGAAATTGCGCTGCCTTCCCCGGGCTGCAACCATCGTTTTCATCGCCAGGGGTAGGTGGCATCACACTCAAAACTTCGGTCTCCAAGTACTCCTTGATCGAACTCGTTGGCTTCAAAAGCCAAAGTCTTGAGGAAAACAGTCGTTTGTCCTAGATAGGACTGGTGCTTCGCTGCAAGAACTGGTGTTGATGTAGACTCCCGAAATAGATAGAAGCAGAAAAGGTTCGTAGATCTCCACGCGGAGAAGCTATTGGAAACCGTGCCACTATCCATTTGGGGACGCCCCATGGTCCATCTCGACGGGTTTCAGAACAGTCGGGCACGTGATTGCAGAGCCCTTGGTTGTGGTCCATGCATTACGGATAGGGCCGATGTGCTCTCAACAGAGCATTTGCACTGACTTGCTTGTGTATCGAACAAGTGCCACGCTAGTAGTAACAAGAAGCTATTAGAAACAAGTGCATGCATACAACACAAACAGCATTTTATAAAAAGAAACAAGTTAATAACTTTTTGTTACTACTAGTAAGGCACTTCTTACTACTAGCGTGGCACTTGTTTCTACTAGCTTCTTGCTACTACTAGTAAGGGACTTGTTACTAGAACCGATGCACTTGTTACTAGTAGCTTGGGGCCTTCAGGTTTTTGGCGGTGGCCAAGGGCCACCCGAATATCACAGCGCTCTTTGGCGTCTTCTGTTATTTCGAGAACGAGGCAGCGAGCGGCGGACATCCGGTGTCGAGCGGCAGCAAATGCGATCGTCTGCGGAGTTTTATTTTTTTTCTCCCAGACGGGTTGCCGTCATATGTTCCATGATGTTCCTGATGGTTGGAGCGATCTTGGTCGTTGAGAATTCTGGCAGCACCCGCCCCGGACGTCCCAACCAAATGTTGCTGGCAACTGGTCCGAACCTGGAGGTGTCTCGCGTTTGTTGCAACTTTGAGGTCATGTATATGTTCTCAGTGAAGGCTTTCTTGGTGCGACGGTATAGCAAACAAGACTGTTTCTTTTTCGGTCTAGACTAGGCCACTAGGCCATGGCTATTGGAGGCCATCGCTTCTAGAGCGTGGTTGTCCCATGGTCCCATGTCCCATCCGCCAAGTGCTGCTCCGCTTGAGCCGAACGAGTCGGCCAGGACCGTGAGGCCAGGGCGGCATCGAATCGGCCATTCCAGGCCTAAGGCCTGAAACAAATGGTTAAAATAGCAAACTAAATTCTAATAGCAATCATTGTTACTACTAGTGAGGCACTTGTTACTAGGTCCAAGAATAGATAAACACGCTCTAAAGGTCCAAAGAAAGAAAGTGCAACGTCTTGGCAAGGGGTGGCAACGGATCCAAAGACCCTTCCGGAGCAGAGAACGTAGGGGGAATTGTAGCAAAGGAGCGAACGAGCGTTCATGTGCCACGCTAGTAGTAACAAGTGCCACGCTAGTAGTAACAGGTGCCTTACTAGTAGTAACAAGAAGCTAGTAGGAACAAGTGCCACGCTAGTAGTGCCACGAGCGTTCATGTTTAAGAGGGTTCAAGATTCAAGACCGAAGTCTTTACTCGAACGAGTGCATTCAACATCTAGACCAGTGAGGTGAGTATATTTGGAGGCCATTGCTTGTAGGTCATCGCTTTTTTGGGGTACTGACTTGGTGTACTAACGACCTTCAACTCAAATGGCTTGTTTTGGCACTCCGGACTCCAAGTCCTTGGAGCTCGAGGCGTGAACGGTGGTACATCGTGGGAACTCACGCGCAGACATTGGACTCCCCATTCAGTTTCCTCATGTTAGGAGGTGCCTCGCATGCGCTGGTGCATCGTGATGTCCTTGCACTCTGGCATGCAACAAGATTGAAGAACTTGGGTTTGCCTTTGGGACCATTTGGCGGATGCCTTTTTGCTGTGCACATAGCTCTTAGGTTGGAGGCAAAAGCTAGTAGGTTGGAGGCCATCGCTGGAGGTCATCGCAAGTATTCTTTTTTTCTTGAGCAGGTATGCAGCAGGAGACTTGTTTGACTATTTGGCTGCCAATGGTGCGATGCCAGAACCTGCTGCTGTGACGCTCATGCTGCTCAGACTGAAATTGGAAAAGGAGCAGCATGGAGCAACCTAATTGCAATGGCCTCCAACCTAATTGCAATGGCCCAAGCTACCAGCGATGGCCTCCAACCTACGAGCTTCAAATTGAAAGCTGCTGGGAGAAGCATGGAGAAGCTCGATCCATCTCAACATGCCATCGAGCGACGTAGACTGGGCATTGTGCCTTTGTGTGTGTGTGTGTCAAGGAATGCAACTGGGTTGGCCATTGGCCTGTTGATGGGAGAAGCTACTAATTGTATATTCTAATTTTATAGTGTTTCTACTAGCTTCTTGTTACTACTAGTAAGGCACTTGTTCCTAGTAGCGATGCCCTTTGTTACTAGTATGCTTCTTGTTCCCCAATAGCAATTGATGGGAGAAATTGTGACAATACCATGCTTGTTTAGGTGCTCCATTGTGTTGCTCAGGTTGTGTTTGCTCTCCGCGCTTACCCATCTTCACCAACTAGGTGTGGTGCACAGAGATGTGAAAGCTGAGAACATACTCTTAGCAGCTCGGCGGAAGAACCTCAAGTCCGCCAGGTGATGGCGACCCTGCTCAGCTGTAGTGAAACATGTGAAAGTTGAGACGAAATGAAGTGATGAGAGACGATGTCATGGCAGGCGAAGTGACATTGACACTTTTTGTCAGCAACTCTTTTTCGAGATGCATGAAGAGTGCTGGATAAGAAAAGCCTTTATCGTCCTTCCCCACTTAAACTTCACTTTGGACTAGGAACCGTGATGGTGAATCTCGAGTAGGGAACAAACACATTTCGAAGGACACTTGCAAGAACTAGGACTAGTGACTATTGCTTTCTTTCTTTCTATCTGTTTGTCTGTCTGTCTGGCTGACTGTTTGTTTGCTTTCCGAGAATGGGAAGAGAAGGCAAGGCGACCATCAATTTGTTCACATGTGTGCGGTGAGGGTGGAGGTCTTTGGTGCGCAGAAAAGCAGGCGGAAGCTAGCCGTTAAACCAACCGATAAGCCGTTCAGGTGATAGCTGTGTGTGAAACAGGAAATCGCCGGTACCTGGGAGTTTGACGTGGTAAATTGTGACTTCTTTACTCGGATTGGCTTCAACGCAAGCTGGACAGATGGCATTTAAGATCGACAATCAATGCGGAGCATGGACATTCGTGCGTGAACAAGTTGCCCTAACTTTTGTGCTCACACGTCCTTTCCTAGAGGAGTAAACTGTGTGGCAATTTTTTTGCATTCGAGGACAGAAGCAAAGCAGTCCTTTCTGACCTCGGCATAGCTGCTTACATCAAAGATGAGGAGGCCCGCGTTTTATTGTCAGTGGTGCAGGTTCTTGCATTATTCACCTGCAACGAGGATTGGATACGTCATTTAGCAGTCGCTAGTAGGTTGGAGGCCATGGCTAGTAGGTTGGAGGCCATTGCTAGTCGCCCTCTCCAAGAGCACAGATAGCCTCCCAAACTTCTCCTGCATCCTGCGCTCAACAGGTAAGTGCGAAGTGGGCGACACAAGCTCGATGTCATACCTCCTTTCTTTTCCCTTTTGGGCACTGTTATATGAGCGATGGCCTCCAACCTACTAGCCGTTACTAGCCATTCCCTCCAATCTAAGTTTCTTCCCTTTTTTTCTTCCCTTTTTACTGTTTTCTTTAGACCTTTAGACATGTCTTTCTTTCTTTATTTAGACATTTCGTTATTTTTATTTCCTTTCCTTTCCTTTTTCTTTCCTTCTTTTTGACTTTTGTTGTTCAACCTTTGAAACATTTCTTCCTTTGCTTTTCTTTCTCTCTCACTCTTCACCCAGACCCTTTGTTATGCCAGCGGGGAGGAAAGGATAGGAACCAGCAAAAAATCATTTTCTACATCCGGATACGTGAACTCTTTTGCACGGCGAACGTAGCAGCGTTAGTTGCTAGTAGGAGAAAGGAATAAAAGGCCAGAAAAGAAAGATTAGCAAAGGGAAAGGTCTAAAGATTTGTTGAGTTTCTCCCCAAGATTAGGGGTGGAGGCCATCGCTACTAGGGTAGAGGCCATCGCTATTAGGGTGGAGAACCACAGCAATCAAGGGTTCTTCCAGCTTAGCCTAGTAGCTACGTACCTTTTAGCTCCTTGCCTATCCCCTTCTCCCCCCGAAGACCCGTTCTTCGTCGGCTCCAGACATGTGCCTGTCACCATGGCCAGGCGATGCAGAAGCGGGTTGGATCACCGGGCTATGCGCCACCTGAAGTGGTCACAGACCTTCCATACGAACCTGCGGCCGCACGCAGCGCTTCCAGCAGCTTCCACGGCCTTTTTTTTGGTTTCACCTGTCGATGAAGGGAACACCAACTTTCACAGGTGTTTATTCGGCTTTCAAGGACTTAGTATATGTGGGCCCGAGGCTTCTTTCGTGTCCTAGGAAGGAGCATGTCAACTCTTTGCCAAGCGTTACAGAGTGGACAACTTGACTCGGCCCAACATGGTCAACCTACTAGCGATGGCCTCCAACCTATTAGCATCCTTGCTCCTAGTAGCGATGCCAGGAGCCCCTAGTAGCGTCTTTGCTCCTAGGACGAAAAGGTGGATGTCTTTGGCTCTGGCGTGGTTTTGTTCTTTGCGCTGAGCAACACGTTGCCTTTTCCTGGGAAAAGCCTGAAGAAGGCGCCGTGGGCTAGGTGACGGGCGCCGTCTTTCTTCCAGTCTTTTTCTTCAGACCTTTATTTATACAAACCTTTTTTTTTTAAATGTTCTTTGGACCTTGAGACCTCTCTTCCTTCTTGTTGTTTCTTTTTTCACTATCTATAGCTTGCTCTCTTCCTTCCTGTTTGTCCCAATCGGCCCTGCTAGGTCTTGCCTCTACAACTGTCCTACCCACTTCTTGTCTCTCCTAGAACAGGTTTTAGGTACTGTGATGTATGTATACTGCTAGTGCTGAGAATAGTAAGGCCTACCATGCACTTACAAGAGCGGGCTGGCGTGCCCTTCTGCCTTGGCTTTTACTAGGTCTCAAGAGTTAATAAAAAGAAATTGACAAGAATGAATCGGCTTCTTAGAAAAACGCCAGAGAAAGACAACACACACGACAATGGACAACAGCGAGAAACGGTTCTTCAATGCCGAACTCGCCGGCCGTGCAGGTCTTAGAGCTCACTGCACGTCCGGGTGCCTAAGGGCCTAACACGTTTGAGCTCTGTGAGCTTTGTGAGCCTGAGATGTCGGCTCGCATGTGTCTAAAACGTTTAGAGTAACAAGTGCATCGCTTCTAGTAACAAGTGCCTTACTAGTAGTAACAAGAAGCTACTAGGAACAAGTGCATCGCTACTTAGTATGAAAGGATAAATCTGGAGACACACCATCAAGACAACATATCGCAGATTTGCCTCTAGGTCTTGGAGGCCATTGCTATTAGGTTGGGGAACATGTTCATTTCCATAGAAGAACACCGTTTTTCTTTGATTTGTTTCGTTGTTTTGCTTCTTTAAGATGTCTTTATTTGTTCTCTTGGGCCCTTCAAACATTGAAAAGGAGGACGTGTTTCTGGTCAGGACTCGAAGTTCGAAGACCTAGCCTGGAAAGTTGCATTGCTAGTGTTCTACTAGGAGCAAAATTACAGGGGCTTCTGGCATCGCTACTAGGAACAAGAACGCTACTAGGGGCTCCTTGCCGTTCACTAATAGTAGTTAGATGTAGGGGTGGTGGAGTATGGTGGAGTCAAAGAGCGGGTCAAGACGAATGATCCCGATCCTGTGCATTTCATGAATGCAATGTGAACATATGCAATCATGTGATATCATGTGTAATTCATTGCATTCATGCAGTTGTACTGCAATCTGAAATGCATTGTGTTTTCATGAGGCCAAATGCGTTGAATCGACGTTGTGAGGCTGCAAGGTCAGATATGACGCGAGCCTTTTCGGGGAGTACAGCGGCAGTGGCGCTCCCAGAGTTGAGAGAACTACGGATCGACTCTGCGCTCTGCGTGTTTGAACTTTTCTTTGCTTTTTTCCCTTTTTATAGCCCGAGGCTCCGCCTCCCTACTAGGAGCAAGGACGCTGCTAGGGGCTCCTGGCCTTACTCCTAGGAGGAAGGACGCTACTAGGAGCAAAGGGCATCGCTACTAGGAGCAAGGACGCCCGAGGCTCCCGCCTCCCCACTCAATTAAGTAGCGTGTTGGAACTTGTCCTAAGTCTAATCGTGCAGTCTGCGTCGCCCCACATCCACATCCACCTCGAGCGTGCGGTCTAAGGCATTATGCAGCTGCTCAAGGCATTGTTGCAGAAAGATCCGACAAAGAATCTTGGCTTCTAGTGGCACATCCCTAGCATGCTTGCTAGCCCAGCTCCTTCCCGCTTCGGCACCAGATCAAGAATTCTAGCAAGAAGCTTTGTGGCACCGACTGACATTGCGTTGACTGGAGGATTGCTTTGTCACGTTGTGCCTTGAGGCGGCCCTCAGCCAAGAAGTCCTTCATTTCACTCTGGACCTTAGCCAGCCCGGAACTCAGAAGACCGTAGCGTCGAATCGCAGTGGGAGGCCATCGCTACTAGGCTGGAGGCCATGGCTATAAGGCTGGATGCCATCGCTGGTAGGTTGGAGCTGTTAGAGTGGAGGCCATTGCAGAAAACAACGAACATGTTTTTGAAGAGAGAGGACGGGAGTAGTGTTTGGATAGGGCTATGTGAGCGGCACCCTCTCTAGAGGTTGCTGACCTTGGCTACTTGCTGACGCCCCTTTTGTGTGCCACATCGTATGTAGCTTCTTCTCCCTTTTTTCTTCTCCGATATGGTCAGCTGCAGTGTCAGCTGCCCAGCCACACAAAAACCTTTCAACGCTTGAAACATCAAGAAATATGCACACATGTTTTGTGGGAGGATGAACTTGTGCGATGCCCCGTGCTTTCTCTCTCTCTTTCTAATTAATGCATTTTGTTTGATCAAGTTCAGATGTTGTAGAACCTTTGACCCTGATTCTCTATTGTTTCAGGATGTTCTTTGTAGGTTGAGATATGAATGTAGCTGTTCGCCAAAGCAGTGCCCCATGACAAAGTATGTCGAGCAGTGTTTGTATGCACTTTGAGTTGAGTTGGATGACACGTGGCGATCTGCAGTGGAGACCTTTCGATCTGCAAACTGAGTCCCAGTAATTGACGAATAGTCCCAGTTTTTGTTGGTGATACAACGTCACAAAGTGCGTAGATTTGAAAGGCTTTTCGTATGATACTAGGAGCAAGGACGCTACTAGGGGCTCCTGGCCTTACTACTAGGAGCAATGTTTGCTATTAGAAACAAGAAGCTACTAAGTGTCGTTTGGACTCCCTTTTCGACCGACCTGGAGGCCTTATAACTTTAAGTACGGAAGACTATGGCATGCTGTGGCCCAAGTGTATGAAGATTAGGAGTTATTCACCTATTCTATGTTAATCCTTTTCTTTTTCATACTTTGTCCTTCAACCTGAAGACCTTTCTGTCGTTCTTTTTGCTTCTTGGGTCATGTCAGTTGAGCTTCCGTGTTTCTTCTCGCTCGCGCTCAGAACCTGACGTCCGCAGCAGCAGCGCTGCAAAGGCGGCGTTCCAGGCACGACCCGACGGACCTGGTCTTTTCTTCTTCCTGCCAGTAACAAGTGCCTTACTAGTAGTAACAAGAAGCTACTAGGAACAAGTGCCACGCTACTAGTAACAAGTGCCTTACTAGTAGTAACAAGAAGCTAGTAGCAAAACAAGAAAGACACTCAACGCGACTAGGTTGGAGGCCATCGCTAGTAGGTTGGAGGGCACTGCTATTGGGTTGGAGGCCATCGCTACTCGGGTGGAGGCCATTGCTTTGGGGTATTTGCGACGTTTGTTCGATCAGGCGGTGGAAGATGGCGTTGATCGCGGTTATCGGCCTGCACCCAGCGCTAGCGCCAGCGCTCCGAACGCGTCTCCAACTGCTGCCACTGGGCCTCTGGGGCCTACTCCGACGACCAGCGCACCGCGGCCCGGTCGAACTAAGATCTCATAATCAAGAGACAGCAAAGCAAAGACCAAACATAGTCCTCTGTGTCTTTGAATGTCTTTGCTATCTGTTTGTGTTGTAAATGCCCCCTAAGTGCAAAGAGAAAAAGGATCCCAAGGAGGCCCAAACTCTCTTCATCATCCCGAGACCAATTCAAGATTGAAGACGCGAGCCAAGGATGAAAGTGGTTCGCAACTTGGCAGGATGTTGCTGCTCCATTCGGATGGTGGCCGACCATAAGGGTCATTCTGAGTCTTAGACTCTTCGACATGTCTTTTTCTTTGCCTTTCTTTTCTGGGTGAACGCTTCTAGGTTGGAGGCCGTCACTAGTAGGTTGGAGGCCATCGCTAGCAGCCAGGTTGGAGGCCATTGCTATCAGGTTGGAGGCCATTGCTATTAGGTTGGGGGCCACTACTATTAGGTTCATAGTGAGCCCCGCTCGAACTCGAACTCAAACTCGAACTCGAACTGAAACAGTTATACAGTATTGATGAACTTAACCTTGAAAGGCTATATGGAAGGAACCGAACTCGAATTCGATCTCGAACTCGAACTCGAACTGGAACTGTTAGAAGTCAACCCGGTGGACGAATAGAAAGAGTCGAACTCCAAAATCGCTGTCGTCAATTCGAATTCGAACTCGAACTCTAACTGGTCCCCCCCCACAGGTGTCAAAATTGTCGTCGATTCGAATTCGATCTCGAACTCGAACTGCGTTCCCCCCCCTCCGGGCGTGAAAATTGTCGTCGATTGAATTTGAACTCGAACTGGTTCCCCCCGCCGGGGTGTAAAAATTATCGTCGATTCGAAGTCGGATTTGAACTAATGCTGCGTTGTAATGGCTCCTTCCTATTCTAAATTTCACCTTCGAATGGCCCACAACAGGAATGCTACGTTGTAATATAATGGCTCCTTCCGGCTGTAAATTTTACCCTCGGGTGGCCCACAAAAGGCATGCTACGTTGCAATGGCTTGTTCCTTTTCTATATTTTACCCACGAAAGGAATGCTACGTTGCAATGGCTTTTTCCCACTCTAAACTGTATCTTCGTGTGGCCCACAAAAGGTATGCCACGTTGCAATAGGCTTCTTCCTATTCTGTTGCAATAGGCTTCTTCCTATTCTAAAATTTATCCTCGGATGGCCCACAAAAGGGATGCTACGTTGTGGTCAGTTGGTTGGTTGCTGCTGGCGCCGCTGGCAGGTGGCTGTTGGGTGGTTGGTTAGCAGGTTTTTGCGGCAGGGAGTTCACACTAAAATGTTGATTTCGTGGCAGGCGCGGGTTTTGGAGATGAAGTGCAGATTTCGTTGCGCGGGGGGGGGTGGGGGGTCCCCCCCCCCCAGCAGCACACCAGATCCTAATATAACAAGTGTTGGCTGCAAAGATGAGACGGCGCAGCGCGGATACTTTCAACAGGCTGATTGCTTTGTTGCTAGCTTGGTTGGTTCCTGTTCTTCTTCTGTGTTGTGGGTCGTGGCGATTGCGGTTGTGGTTGTTGTCGTTGCTGTTGGTTCTCGTTGCTGCTGTTGTGGGTCGATCCGAACTCGAACTCGAACTGGTCCACCACCCCGGCTCTAATTGTTGTCGATCTCGAACTCGAACTCGAACTGGTCCACGCCCCCCTCTTGCTCGATCCACGCAATCTCGCGCATCGAACTCGAACCTGAACTCGAACTTGAACTCGAACTCGAACGGGATCAGTTAGAACCACCTGGGGCACGGCCTGATTAGGTTGGAGGCCATTGCTATTGGATTGGAGGCCCCTCGCAGGATGGAGGCCATCGCTATTAGGTTGGAGGCCATCGCTATTAGGTTGGAGGCCATTGCTCTTAGGTTGGCCATCGCTAGTAGGTTAGACTTAGAGGCCATTGTTATTAGGTTGGAGGCCATTGCTATCAGGTTGGAGGCCATTGTTATTAGGTTGGAGGCCACTACTATTAGGTTGGATGGAGGCCATTGCTATTAGATTGGAGGCCCCTCGCAGGATAGAGGCCATCGCTAGTAGGTTGGAGGCCATTGCAATTGGGTTGGAGGCTATCCCCAGTAGGTTGGAGGCCATTGGAGGCCATGGCTAGTAGGTTCGAGGCCATTGCTATTAGGTTGAATGCTTCTAGGGCCCTTTGCGAAGCAGGACTTGACCCTGAGAAAGCTTGTGAGTGTGGATTGGAAACTTTTTTTTTAATGACATGCTATGCTGCCAAGCTGCAGCGCACTCCCTTGGTGGGTGCTACACGGCGAGAGTTTTGAGCCCCTAGTAGCGATGCCAGGAGCCCCTAGTAGCGAACATTGCTCCTATTACCATGGTCGCATGAAGCGCAAAAAAAAGCTGATTTGCTAAGGCACTTCCTCGCAGCAAGATGATCAGGCCCGAAGAAGGAATCAGGTGACTCAGGTGTGTTTGGGTCAGCCACATGCAGGAGCCATGAGTGAACTATCCTTCCAGCGGCCGGGCAGGCTATGCGCTAGTTTACCTGTAACTCTTCATGCTTTGTTCCGTTGGGTACTTGTGGAATCGTCCATTGTCAACATGGCTAGAAAGGATTTGGTGAAGGCACCTGTGACACCTGTGTCAAAACAATTGTGTATTGTTGAGAGCTTTGCAGTGGTTAGGCCATGTTAGGCCAATGTCTGACGACCCTTCAGCAGTCCCTTCGGCTCCTGGTTGGAATGTGTAAACCGTGCGTCCGACCTCAACTTTCTTAAGTGGTTAGCTAGTAGAAAGGTGCCTTGCTACTAGTTAGCTCAATGTTCTTTCTCAGGGGAAGGTGGTCAAGCCTGAGATTTCTGATTCGCCGTGGGCTGAGTGACGTGTCGAGACTTGCGCATCCTGTCGTGTCCGGTCATGCCGGTGGTGTGTCCTCCGCATGGGACACCTGGAAGTGGAGGGCGTCGCAATCCACCGACACTACGACCTTTCTTTCTTGTTTTCTTCTTAGTTTCCTGTTTCTTTGTGTCCAGCAATGCCAAATTGTTTGATTCATGCACACTTCGGCCTGTGGTGAGGATATTTAATATCAAGTAACTTAAGGTTGGAGGCCATCGCTTTTAGTGGTGCGATTGAGATTCCTGTAGCTTGCACGCTGTACACGGGGGTCCGTGAACCAATTCTCAGGCCTAAACCTGGAGCCGTCAAGGACTGCCACGTTTCATTTGCAGTGACGCACAATCATGTGAAGATTGGGATTCTGCAATCCATTGCTTGTGTGCTTGATGTGTAGGAGCCGGGAATATCCAGTGCCAGCGACCCCGTCCATTCCGCGAGCATGGAGCACCTTGGATCATCGCATTGCATTTTTGTTTTTCTCGAAAACATCGCTAGCAGGTTGAAAGTCATTGCTTTCAGGTTGGAGACCATCGCTATTAGGTCTAAAGAACGCTCCGAACCGCCTTGAGACGCTACTAGTTGCAGAAACTCCCAAGGCCAAGACCTCCGAGCGGCCCCAAACCTAGCAGCAGCAGCTTCTCATTTTGGAAGGCACGGTTCAACCGATCAACTTGTCCAACTCCAATTTGCAAAAAGATTGAAGGCCATCACTAGTAGGGTGGAGGCCATCGCCAGTAGGTTGGAGGCCATCACTAGTAGGGTGGAGGCTGTGGCTAGTAGGGTGGCCATCGCTAGTTTTACGGTATCATCTCCATCCTGGTCACTGCGTTTGAGATTCTCAGTTTGTGCATGTTTTTGCCGCGAATCTGCCAGAACCGCCTGGGATGGGGCGGCAAATCTTCGTCTCCAAAGCAGCTTGCTCTTGGTTTGTTTAGTGAGTCCTGGGCGTCGAGAAGGTTGCATGAGTAGTCAGGGCATTTCACCACGCATGGCCTCCAACCTTACATGGACATGGTGATTTTTGGACCTTGACCTTGTCTTGCCAGGCTCCAGACCCTTTAGAAGGCATTCGGCTGTCTTGGGTAGTAACAGGTAAGGATCAGCAAATTATAGCCATTGGTTCATCGAGCAACAAAGGAGGAAAAAGGACTAGAGGCTCTAGAGGGTGAAACATGGTGAAACCAGCAACAAGGAAACCAGAAAACAGGAAGAGAAATACTGAAAGCAAGTGGAACAATTGGCCAACGGGCTACAACTGGAAAGGCGACGCATCTTAGGCCAAAACGACCAAGCAGAAAGCAACATAAAGGAAGAAAGGATTGCACATTGTCCACAACAAAATTCAAAAAATATCTAGGAACCAAAGGGGCGCTTCTTCAAGGGGTCTCCTCCCACCGCTTTTAGGGGCGGCGGGAGCTTCCTTGAAGAAGCGTGAACTATCCTGCGTCTAGTTACTAGTAGCTTTCTTAAGCTAAGTAGCTACCTCTTCCTATACACCCCCTCGGCCCCCAAAAAGCATCATAATAACAACAGGACATATTTAAAAGACATATTAAATCATAAACACATATGATATATTACTTTACATACATATTATTGTACTATCTTGAGCATATTGATCATAAACACAATGTCGCTATACTACATTTAAGGATACAACGTGCAAAACAGCAGCACCTCGGGATCACCTGAGGCCTGAAGGTGACAGCTCTCAGGCGCGTAGTGTTTTGCGATACATGTACAGTCACGACCAACCTTTTGGAATTGAACAAGCACGTCACAGTCACACAGCTCGACAACCCCCTGTCCACTTCACATCTCCTGTTTTTCTGTTAAAGTTGTGTCTTTTCTTTTGTTTTCCTGTCATTGTCCTTTCTTTTCACTTTTCATTGCTTCACTTGGCAAGTAAACAATGCACTTGGACAACTTTATCAATACAGGGGGGCGACGGGACACCTTGTAAAGCAGAATGGGGCATAGCGCTGCAACATTTTTTCCGGATCAAGCGGGTAGTAGCATTTTTCGCTACTAGGAACAAGTGCATCGCTACTAGGAACAAGTGCCTTACTAGTAGTTTCTAGAATTTTGGGGGTAACTTCTAGAATTTGCAATCCATCTCGTGCAGGGGACCAGGTGACGAGCTTTGTCAATCAGGCGCATGGGACTCTGTTGCGGATCCGGCCATCTATGGATCTCGAACATTTCAGAATAGCAAGGGCCTCCAGCTTGGAAGCAACCTAGAAGCAATGGCCTCCACCCTAATAGCAATGGCCTCCACCCTAATAGCAA